TTGAAGGGGTGTCTCAATACTTTTGGCACTACAGTGTGTGTGTATATATAAGCCGTGATTTGTCATAATTGTGATGATTATGGCTTACAGCTCATGAAAACCCCAAATCCACAATCTCAGAAAATTAGAATATTACATGCAATCAATAAAACAAGGATTGTACATAGAATAATATCGGACCTCTGAAAAAGTATAAGCATGCATATGTACTCAGTACTTGGTTTGGGCCCCTTTTGCAGCAATTACTGCCTCAATGCTGCGTGGCATGGAAGCTATCAGCCTGTGGCACTGCTGAGGTGTTATGGAAGACCAGGATGCTTCAATAGCGGCCTTCAGCTCTTCTGCATTGTTCGGTCTCATGTCTCTTCTTTCTCTTGGCAATGCCCCATAGATTCTCTATGGGGTTCAGGTCAGGTGAGTTTGCTGGCCAATCAAGCACAGTAATCCCAGTCATTGAACCAGGTTTTGGTGCTTTTGGCAGTGTGGGCAGGTGCCAAGTCCTGCTGGAAAATTAAGTCAGCATCCCCATAAAGCTCGTCTGCAGAAGGAAGCATGAAGTGCTCCAAAATCTCCTGGTAGACGGCTGCATTGACCCTGGACCTAATGAAGCACAGTGGACCAACTCCAGCAGATGACATGACTCCCCAAATCAACACAGACTGTGGAAACTTCACACTGGACTTCAAGCATCTTGCAGTGTGTGCCTCTCCATTCTTCCTCCATACTCTGGGTCCTTGGTTTCCAAATGAGATGCAAAAATTGCTCTCATCAGAAAAGAGGACTTTGGACCACTGAGCAACAGACCAGGTTTGTTTTTCTTTAGCCCAGGTAAGACGCTTCTGACGTTGTTTGTTGTTCAGGAGCGGCTTGACAAGAGGAATATGACATTTAGAGCCCATGTCCAGGTTCCGTCTGTGTGTGGTGGCTCTTGATGCACTGACTCCAGCCTCAGTCCATTCCTAGTGAAAGTCCCCAACACTTTTGAATGGCCTTTTCCTGACAATCCTCTCCAGGCTGCGGTCATCCCTGCTGCTTGTGCATCTTTTTCTTCCACACTTTTCCCTTCCACATAACTTTCTATTAATGTGCTTTGATACAGCACTTTATGAACATCCAACTTCTTTTGCAATTACCTTTTTGAGGCTTTCCCTCCTTATGGAGGGTGTCAATGATGGTTTTCTGCACAACTGTCAGGTCAGCAGTCTTTCCCATGATTGTGATTCCTAGTGAACCAGACTGAGAGACCATTTAAAGGCTGAGGAACCCTTTGCAGGTGTTATGGCTTACTTAGCTGATTAGAGTGGGACACTTTGAGCTGAGCATATTGCACCTTTTCACAATATTCTAATTTTCTGAGATTGTGGATTTGGGGTTTTCATGAGCTGTAAGCCATAATCATCACAATTATGACAAATCACGGCTTGAACTATCTTGCTTTGCATATAATGAGTCTATCTCATATATTAGTTTCACCTTTTAAGTTGCATTACTGAAATAAATTAACTTTTGCACGATATTCTAATTTTTTGAGTTTCACCTGTATATCTGTCCAAGATTTAGGCTCTATGTGGATTTGTTCCACTAGGGGGAACTGTTGAGCCTTCAGTAGTGAGGTAATGAGCCCAGCTGAAGGTAGTGGGCTCATTAGGGCCTCTATAAAACTTCCCAGCCTGCTTAGTGAGTTGCTCCAACCTGGAATCAGATCTGTGCCTGAGTAGGGACCATATTTAACTGTGCGGTGAAACGAAGGCCTGTGTGGCTAGCCTCAAACTGAAAGGGACTGGGTGTAGCATAAGGCTGTACCTAGTGGATAGCTAGGGAAGCTATTGTATAGTAAGTGGCCAAGGATTTAATTTCATGGTTTTTTTTTTTTTTTGCTGTTTTTCTTGTAAATAGTGTAAATAAACCGCACATTTTGTTTTTCACCTACACTGCTGTTTTGCTGTGCCTGTTTTTTTTTTGTGTTGTGAACTCACCCAGGGGGTCACACACACACCTCTGTTTAGCCTGGAGTTCAGCTTTAATGTGAAAGGAAACAATCCATTTAAAGCATACACAGAATTTGTGATGGTCCTGGTGGTATTTTGTAGAGCGACCTGACACTTGTGATTGATTTGTAAATAAGTCCTTTTTTTTTCAATTTACAGTTAGTAACTTTGTAAGTATAAAATGGACACATCTGGTAGATGTGACATGTTTGACACGTGTGTGTGTGTGTGTGTGTGTTTTTTTTTTGTGTTCCAGAAACTTGCGTGAAAATACATTCTTTTGCAAGGATTCGCTGTATGCCTGGGTGTGATTAGAGCCTAAGGCTAGCCTCTTATATGCTTGAGTCTTTAGTTGATATTTTTTCCTGTGGTTTAAATGTATTGTACTATTTTGATTCACTTTTTATATAGCCAAATGAAAGAGAATCATTTGCTCAAATAGGAAGTGAACAATTCTTTAGGAAAATCTTTTGACTAATCAGTAAAACTAAGAGGTGTATCTTTAAAGCAGTGAAGGTGACTTTCACTGGTAGTAAATCAATCACTGTCATTTAAAACCCATGTATGAGGAAGTTCACCTGCAACAAATGTTTGGCGAGTATAAGAATAACTGCTTTATAAATATAACACACAAAACAACAGAAGGGCTGCCTCAATATTAGTTAAATAAGATTAAATCCACGCTTAACCACTTCAATACAGGGCACTTATACCCCCCCCACCCCTTGGCCAGGCCAATTTTCAGCTTTCAGCACTGTCGCACTTTGACTGACAATTGCGCAGTCATGCAACACTGTACCCATATGAAATTTTTATCATTTTTTTCACACAAATAGAGCTTTCTTTTGGTGGTATTTAATCACCACTGCGTTTTTTTTTTTTTTTTTTTTTTTTTTTGGCTAAATAAAACAAATCACCTGAAACTTTTGAAAAAAAATGCACTTTTCTTTGTTTCTGTTATAAAATTTTGCAAATAATAACATTTCTTCATAAATTTAGGTCAAAATGTATTCTGCTACATTTCTTTGGTGAAAATAAGTATTGAATTTTTATATTTTTTTTCAAATGTTTCTATAATTTTTTATAAATTTTTTTTTTTTTTTTTTTACTATTTTTCAGCACACTGTGACGAAAGCAATACAATGTTACCATAGTAACATTGAACTACTCTGGGCAAGTGATCAGGATTTTTTTTTTAACACATTATGATTGCTAATACCAATGTATTTAATTGATATTTGCAATCATTGTTACTGAATGAAACTGATTCATTCAGTCTTTTGTTGTGATTGGGTGAAGCTGATCACATGAAACAGATGGGCTGTGATTGGCCCTGTCTGTATCATGTGACTGCCTTGACCAGTCACAGCTAACAACATAATTGTATACAATGGATGGCATGACAGGAATCCATCTATTGCATACAATTGACATGTGATCTACTGTGATTGGTCACATGACACTGGCAACGGGCCGGTGTAGTGATATGTCATCGGCTGTGTCCCGTGGACACAGCCGGTGACAGATCGTGTTGTTGCGCAGCCCCCGGCCACGTGAGCGGCTTGTTTTGACAGTACGTCATGACAACCAGTAACAACGGCGAGTGTCCCACCCGGCCTATAGCAGATTGACAGCCGGGCAGGAAGGTGTTAAACAATAAGGACACAATCAATTAATTGTGAAATTAAAAATCCTCAATGTGAAAATCAACATGTGCAAAATTCCTTTCACATCCAAAAGGTGATAAGTGCTCTGTGTGCCCCCCAACTTACCAACTATAATGAACTCTTATAGTGAAGTAAGAGTCATTCACACTTTTGGTGGGGTATAGGAAGTCATGCTGGAGCTTGTAGTCCTCCTGGTAATCTAATCCTTGTCATCCCCAATGATTCAGGTATGAAGCTGATACAGGTATATGAATGAAAGGAATGGAAAGAGGCATTGATTTCACATTGAGGACTTTTTATTTCACAATTAATTGTTTTTTTTATTGTTTAAGCATGGATTTCATCTCTGTGATCACTGTGTCCTACGAACACAGCTGATCATGTGATGTGGTAAAAGGCCAATCACAGTGGCCTTTTACCACGTTATCAGTTGTGTCCAATGACACAGCAGATCACCGATAAATACAGTTGCAGATCATCAGCTGCTGATAACCGGCAATTGTCAGAGGACGGATTGAAACTGATCATCAGGGCACTAATGATCAGTGCCACCTTCAGTGCTGCCCAGCAGTGCCACCAGTCAGTGCCGTTAATCAGTGCCACCTGTCAGTGCCCATCGTTGCATATCCATACCAGCTCATCAGTGCCCATCATTGTTGCCCATCAGTGCTGCCCATCAGTGCCCTTCACTGCTGCTCATCAACGCACATCAGTGAAGGAGAAAAATTACCTGTTTGCAAAATTTTATAATAGAAACAAAATGTTTTTTTTTTTTTGCTCTTTTTTTGTTTTATAGCGCAAAAAATAAAACACCCAGCAGTGAGTACATACCACCAAAAGAGAGCTCTATTTGTGTGAAAAAAATGCTAAAAATTTTATATAGGTACAGTGTTGCATGGCCACACAATTGTCACTCAAAGTGCGACAGCACTGAAAGCTCAAAATTGGCCTGGGCACGAAGGGCGTACAAGTGCCTGGTAGGCAAGTGGTTAACTAATATTGAGGCATCGCTCCTGTTTTGTGTTATGTTGATATGGTCGTACCTGTATAGGAGCAGCAGCCCATCAGTGTTCAATATTGAGTGTGTACTACTGATTGGTGTGTCCAAAGTGCAGGTGATTATTATTTAACATGCTTTATAAATATGTCCATAGAAAATCACACTGCCCAGGTTTAGTTCAAGCTGTTTGTGTACTAATTGCACTTGTAAGCTCATTTATAATCCTTGTGATATCACTTGTTTGTAAAGTAACATGAGGTTCTGAACTGTAATACACGTAGTCAAACAATGTTGTTCCATATCTTAACTGAATGCAATTTGTATGTTACATGCCAAGAGACTTACATTGATCTTTGCATTAAACAGGATGTGTCTGTATGCTTGTGCTTTGCATAGCATGGCATTAATCAGTATAATGACTGGATCATATTCTATGTACTTGTCCACTGGTTTTTGGCAGGATTTCTGAAAAAGAAAAAAATGCATAACAGCATTGAAATACCAAAATATGTCAATACTCAGTATGCCATTTTATGAATTACCGTATTTTTCGCTCCATAAGACGCACCTAGGTTTTAGAGGCTGAAAACAGGAAAAAAAAATATTCTGAACTAATGGACTGCAGACACAGTACAGGAGATGACCAGAGACTGCGGACATAGTACAGGAGATGACTGCTGACCTTTGGGGAGGGGGGGAGCGGGTACCTGAATTTGACAGGTACCCGCTCTTACTTCCGCGGAGTTGTTCTTTGACCTTACCTGTTCCTCTATCCAGCCACGCGCTGTCTTCCCGGCTTCTGTAGTGTGGGCGCTCGGCTTGACAGCCGGGTGCCCAGTGCGCATGAGTGAGAAGCGCTGCGCTTTGTGATTGGTCCGGCGGCTTCTGGGACCTGTCATGTGTCCCAGGTGCCGCCTTACCATTCACAAAGAGCACCGCTTCTTGCGCATGCGCACTTGGCACCCAGCTGTCAAGCCGAGCTCCCACATTACAGAAGTCGGGAAGACAGCACGCCGCTGGATAGAGGAACAGGTAAGGTCCTGCTGCAGCGCTGAGCGGCCAGCCCGGTATTCTGACACGGCGGCGGTGGAAAAAGTGCGTCTTATGGAGCGAAAAATACGGTACATAGGGACACCTAGTCTACCATCAAAATTAATTGGCGATTATGCCTCAGGTATAAAGTCACCCTAAGCAATCAGGTTGGAAAATCCAAAACAGTCAAAAACCCATCTGTAATCAACTGGTCGGGATATTTGCTATATAGGGTGGTCCCTATAGACAATGTAATTTTCATTAGATCCAGGTGAAGTTAACTAGACTGCACAATAACAGTTACAGCATAAACTTTCATTTTATAACATCAGCACTTTGATAACAATACAAACAATAGTTATATTTGTCAATCTAATTTAAAGTTACTTAAAAAATCACCTTTCATGTTGTGAGCGCTGCCTGTCTGCTGGCCATCTTTCTCCAACTTCCTGGATTCGCTGCATGCTTTGCGGTTTGTCCTCTGCTGTTAACCCATTGGAGCCAGTGTCTCACAGCCCTTTAAAGGGTTTCAGATGCTGGGAGGCAGGGCGGGGTTTCTGATCAAATGTCAGCCGTGATTAACTGTCACAGCAATGACATTAGCATAAAGCTCCTAATCGAAAGTAGAGATTGGGAGCATTCCGTTCAGTAATGATGCATGGAGCGCACAGGGTGCGGTAAGGCTGACAGCAAAAAGTTCTTTCAGTTTTGAAGGACTACATATCCCATGGTACCTTGCTACCTGCAAACAGTGATTCCTGTATTGACCCCTCCTCCTGAAACTCCTCCTCCTCGGCACCTCTTTAGTACAAAAGGTAGGCACTGTGAATTCTGTGACACAGCAGTGCCTCCATGAAACATGTTGAGGGCACAGCTTGGATGAATCGAGCAGAGGCTGATTTTACCTGCTAAGCTCTCAGGCCTGGTGAGTTTTGTGGCAGCTGGGCTATCGCTTCCTATATGTACAGTGCGTTTTGGGTCTGGGCAAACCTATCCTAGCCTGCACTCTCACTAATCAGCTTTTGTTAACATTCTGTCATAGAAAAGCTCATTACAACTGGTAACAATTCCCAGTGCTTCCTCCCATGTGACGGTGCTTGGGTCAAGCAACCAAGCACTGGGCCTGAGCACTACCACATGACTGAGGGAGTGATCTCCCCACTTTATACACTAGGGATTTTAGTGCTAGCTGCAACAAGGGCAGGAGCAGTGGGTGAGCGCTGGCAAAGTGAGTATCAGGGGTGAAATGCACTTTACAAATACACAATCACTTTGCCCTGAATGGGCAAGTGATGATCGTATAGGTTACCTAAAGTGAGGAAAGCACATAGGCTACTATTGCGTACACCTCCTTCAAAACATGTTTGTTTTCTAGCAGTCATATTGATCCAATAGCTTAAATGCCAGGAAACTAACATGTTTATTAGGATGACAGTCCCATTTTTCTTTGAGTACAGGCTTCCTTTAACATTTAACCCCCTAGCTCTAACATTTCAAGTAATATTAAACCCTCAGGTGTTTTTTTTTTTTTTTTTTTTTTTTTAGCACTTTCAGCAGCTGGTTTATTCACTTACTATGCAGCTTGTTTGCCTATGTTCCACTTTAGGTTTATGCCATGATTGCTACCACAGGTTTCCTATTTCATGGGGCCGCCCTTGCATGCAAGCACTGGAGTTGTGTCTATGTTCTACTTTAGGCTGGTGCCACTGTGTGCCTATGTTCTACTTTAGACTGGTGCCATAAAAGCTGCCTCAGGTTTCCGGTTTCAGAGGGACTCCTTTCTCTTGCAGCACTCTATGGGGTCACCTTTCCATATGGAGACTGGATTTGTGCCTCCCTCCCAACACTGTGTACATCAAAAGAAACACACAGTCCCATATACTAATAGGGTAAGGCACTCTGTTGATCCTCCCCTCTCCAAGCTGAAATATTGGCTCAAGAGTGCATTGTCCACTGATAAAGTGTTACTAAACCCACATCAGTAAAATCAGCATGTATATGCAGTAAAGCATGCTTGTTATACTCACTGTGGAACCTAAGGGGTTAATCTTCTGCATTCCGTAAAAAGGTTGTTTGATCCTGTCTTCTCTGATCCTCCCCTTCTACTGTCCCCAATCCATCAATCAATGATGATCTAAGAGTCACTCTGCACATGCTCTGTTTAGTGTGCATTGCTTGAGAATTTTTTTCTCTTTGGGAGGGTGCATGTGATTAGCACAGGGCCAAACAGCACTGTCCAGACAGGTGTTATGCAGCCTCATAGGACAGTCAGCGGAGCATGAAAACTCCTCCTACAAGATTAACCAGTGCGCAGCTGGACACTGATAGAAGTCACAAGACTGTTATATACTGATGATGAGAAAAGGTATTTAGCAGTTTATATTTACTAAAATAATTGCATTTCCATGTTGTGTGTACTGTGGGAGACCAGATATCGCGAGTGCAGGGTCCTGGGTTTAGTAACATTTTAACTCTTTTCTGTGAAGACCAGAAGGTCACGAACAGCACTGAGAATGCAGGAGCCAGCAACATTGAACGTTGTAAACTGCAAGTGCTGTGGTAAGAATTTTAATAGTTTACTGGAGCATTACCAAGAGGACCTGAACTGTAGTAGATATGCCCAAAGAAAATGAAGCAGAGAAAAGTCACCAGTATTGGCTGTAGGCTCCCAGTAGTTGATTTTTGCCCCTTTTTAACTTACTATTACTTGTTCTACCCTGTCTCTCTGTGTGGAAGTAGCTATCTTGGTAGAGAATTGGGGCTTTGCTTCCCCATTTCAGAGCTGCACTCCTTGTGACTAGTGATCTGATGACTGGTGGTGAAATTCAGAAGAAGAAATAGGACAGGCGCAGGAAGCACAACAAAACAAAGAATAAAGCAAAAGAAGGGAGATCCTTGCAGATTAGGACTTCTGGTACAGCATCCACTCCACACAGTTGGAGCAAGTAGTGACATCACTAAATTTCAAGAGAAATTGCCAGTTCATACCATAGAAACGCAGTCCAGATGCATTCTGAATGTGTTTCTGCATATGCGTTTTTGATGCATTTAGGTGCGTTTTTTTTTTTTTTTAATGTGCTCCAGTGCATTTTTTCTTCACATTAAATAAGGACATGTGCGTCCCAGTGCATTTTAGGTGAGTTCTGGTGCGGTTTTGATGTAGTTCAGTGCAGAAAAAATGCAGCATTGTTCTACTTTTTTTTTTCTGGAACACACTGGGACTGACCGCACTTGTGTGAACTATGCCATAGTAATCTATATAACCTAGTGTCCATGCATTTTAGATGCAGAAAGAGAACACTTACTACATGTGGTGTGAACTGGCCCTAAGTGAACAAACACTGCAGATATATATCTATGGGGCTCCAGGCACAGGAAGTTCACTACTATTTTTTAGGCGGAATTCCAGGCAAAAGGTACATTTTTCATGGTACTGATTTTAGTAACCCTCTAAACCCCAACTCCAATTCTAACCCTTTATCTAATACATAACCACAAAAGAAAATTCTAGAATACCATACTTAGGTTAGTGAGGATTGGAGCTGTCAGCATTAAAGATCTAACTTCTGTGCTGAGATCTCGCAACGCTGCAAGCTACTGATTCATCAAGTTAGTGCTGTGCATCAAATGGTGATCACAAGAAGAAAGCCACCTATAGATTGCTGAAACTTTCTCAACCCAGAAAAAAATACGGTCTAACCGTTCACAAAGTTCATACATTGATACATTTATTTGATGTCTCAATCAAACTTACACAGATAGTAATCTTAAGTACTCCATGTTTGTAATCTCTGTACAGTTCATTGGACTCCTCATTGCATTCAATGCAGCGATATATTGGCTTCTTGCTATCATGCTTTCCATACATAACTGTGTGCTGTAATCACAGGATACATGTCAATAAATCATCATTAATATACTATTTAATACCTTTAAATACTATAAAAACAAATTGCCCACATTTACATACTATAGATGTGTAGTTAAAGTGTTTCTAAACCCAGGACCCTACATTCACTCTGATGGATCTGGTTACCCACAGTACACACAGCATGGAAATGCAATTATTTTAGTAAACATAAACTGCTAAATACCTTTTCTCATCAGCAGTTAGAGAAGTCTTGTGACTTCTATCAGTGTTCTGCAGAGCACTGGTTAAAACTTGTAGGAAGAGTTTTCTTTCTGCTCTAGGAGGATGCAGAACCCCTGACCTCTGTCTGGACAGTGCTGATGGGCCCTGTACTAATCATATGCAGTCAGGATCAAACAGCACTTTTACATAATGCAGAGGATTAACCCCTTAGGTTCCTCAGTGAATATAACAAGCATACTTTACTGCATATACAGACTGTTGTGGGTTTAGTAACACTTTAAAAGTAGAAATATGCAGGTAATATATTATTTGGAAACTTAGTCATCAATGAGCAATTTACTAATGATAAATAAAATGGTTGATTCCTTACACAGAAGAAACCTTAACCTTAAATGTATGATTTAGTTTTTTATATAATCAATAACTGCACTATAGGAAAGGTTTATCAATTTATGCCTTACACCATAGCTTAGGGGCTCAAAATGTGGCAGACAGATACATTAACTGGCAAATAAATTGCCTTTGCCAGATCTACAGTTAACTCACCTGTGGCCAGACTATGGACAATAAAACATTTAAAGACTCCAAACAGACAGTAAAAGTGTTTTAAAACAAGCTCTTGAAAAATCCTAAAAAATCTTGACAAAGACTGTGAAGTAGGTTTGCAGGTGGTTCTACCAGCTTACAACATCTGGTGCTTTGCTGGGCAAGCTACCGTGTCCCTGCTGCCAGAGAAAATAAGGAGAATAACTGCAAAGTAAAAAAATGTGGCTTACGTATGTATTTGCAAACGTGTGCTAACTAAACCCCTGTTTTTAAATGCATGTTCTTAGACAGGTTTATTTGGTTTTTGATAGTTGGTTAACTGGCTGGCAGTTTGAACTGGCTTTCTTATCCCCCTCTTTTGATAAGTTATACTTATCCATGTTCCTTGCCGAAAATAGCTATTATTAGACTGGGGTAGGCTGGCAAGTTGAACTGGATAGTCCTATTTTTTACTTTGTGACGCCTTCCATGTTCACTGTTTAAAAAGCCAGTTATAGACCTGGGTAGGTGACCAGTTTTTTTTCTTTGTATGAGAACTGCAATTTTAGTGCATCTTTTGTGAATTTGAAGATTAAAATAGAATTCCAGCCTAAAATTAACAAGTCTTAAAAATGCCCAAACCCAACACCTATGCTGACTAACCTGTATAGAAAAGATATACACTTGCTTAATTTCAGTCTGCTGTACTCTGGTCGTGTCATCCGGCTCCCCTGTATCAGCTAGCATCAGCTGCAGGGGAGAGGAGGGAGGGCTAATAACAGCTGGGACATGGAAGCCTATGAGTGACATCACTGCTCCCGGAGTTCCCAGCCATTGCTGAATGCTTTCTCCTCAGCCCTGCAGCTGTCGCCGGGTGGCACGGGATCACTTGACTGGACCAGACTGAAAATAGGGAAATACTGTATATACATTTTTTTTATACAGGTTAATCAGCAAGACTAGAATGAGATAAGGGGAGTATTTAGTCAGCCACCAATTGTGCAAGTTCTCCCACTTAAAAAGATGAGAGAGGCCTGTAATTGGCATCATAGGTAGACCTCAACTATGAGAGACAAAATGAAAAAAAAAAATCCAGACAATCACATTGGCTGATTTGGAAATAATTTATTTGCAAATTATGGTGGAAAATAAGTATTTGGTCACCTACAAACAAGCAAGATTTCTGGCTCTCACAGACCTGTACCTTCTTCTTTAAGAGGCTCCTCTGTCCTGCACTCATTACCTGTATCAATGGCACCTGTTTGAACTTATCAGTATAAAAGACACCTGTCCACAACCTCAAACAGTCACACTCCAAACTCCACTATGGTGAAGACGAAAGAGCTGTCGAAGGACACCAGAAACAAAATTGTAGACCTGCAATAGGCTGGGAAGACTGAATCTGCAATAGGCAAGCAGCTTGGTGTGAACAAATCAACTGTGGGAGCAATAATTAGAAAATGGAAGACATACAAGACCACTGATAATCTCCCTCGATCTGGGGCTCCACGCAAGATCTCACCCCGTGATCACAAGAACGGTGAGCACACATCCCAGGACCACATGGGGGACCTAGTGAATGACCTGCAGAGAGCTGGGACCAACCTAACAAAAGCTACCATCAGTAATACACTACGCCGCCAGGGACTCAGATCCTGCAGTGCCAGACGTGTCCCCCTGCTTAAGCCAGTACATGTCCGGGCCCGTCTAAAGTTTGCTAGAGAGCATTTGGATGATCCAGAAGAGGATTGGGAGAATGTCATATGGTCAGATGAAACAAAAATAGAACTGTTTGGTAGAAACACAACTCGACTGGACTGATCCATGTACAGGACAGAATGAATGGGGCCATGTATCGTGAGATTTTGAGTGCAAACCTCCTTCCATCAGCAAGGGCATTGAAGATGAAACGTGGCTGGGTCTTCCAACATGACAATGATCCCAAACATACCGCTCGGGCAACGAAGGAGTGGCTTCGTAAGAAGCATTTCAAGGTCCTGGAGTGGCCTAGCCAGTCTCCAGATCTCAACCCCATAGAAAACATTTGGAGGGAGTTGAAAGTCTGTGTTGCCCAGCAACAGCCCCAAAACATCACTGCTCTAGAGAAGATCTGCATGGAGGAATGGGCCAACATACCAGCAACAGTGTGTGCCAACCTTGTGAAGACTTACAGGAAACGTTTGATCTCTGTCATTGCCAACAAAGGATATATAACAAAGTATTGAGATGAACTTTTGATATTGACCAAATACTTATTTTCCACCATAATTTGCAAATAATGTCTTTCCAAATCAGCCAATGTGATTATCTGGATTTTTTTCTGATTTTGTCTCTCATAGTTGAGGTCTACCTATGATGCTAATTACAGGCCTCTCTCATCTTTTTAAGTGGGAGAACTTGCACAATTGGTGGCTGACTAAATACTTTTTTGCCCCACTGTATGTGTAGAGTAGCCTCAGCACTGCTCTAGCCTCGCCCTCTGACACAGTTCACCCCACCCATTGGGGCTTGGTCACAGAGGTGTAAGGAAAACAGGCTGCTAGGGGATATATACTCAACATCATTGGCAGTGAAGTGAATCTGGTATGTGTATGTGTATATGGGGAAGATAAACCAAACAAAAGGACAAACAAGGAAATAGATTTAAAAAGAATCAAGAATAAAAAAAATCAACAAAACTAAAAAAAGAAAAAAAAAAATCAAGGAAAAAAGAAAATCAAACAGAAGATTTTTTCAAAGGAAATTTGACTGAAAAAAGAATGAATTAATCAAATTGAAAAAAAAAAAAAAAAATGGAATAAAGTTGCAAAATCTTTATTAGAATTCATATAATGGAAAGAAAGGGGAGGGGAGAGTAAAAATTGAAAAGAAATGATAAAACTGTGGAAAAAATTGAATGGAGAACAAAAGATTATCATAACTCTGTTGTCTTGCTCAGGAAAATCATTAAGAACTGACAGAAGGAAATTATTTTTTCTCTAGACGAAACAAAAAATATATTATTGTATTTTGATATTTATTACCCATGGAGCAGAAACCGAGAAATGCTGAGAGAAGCTACTATGTTGGTGAGCTTACTCATAAAAGTGGGTGACATCCCACTCAAAATTAAATCCTTTAGGTCTCTGGGATTCAAGTTTAAAAATCCAAAAACCTCTCTTTTGCAGAAGAGAGAAAATCGATCACTCCTTCTATTATGAGGATCGAAATGTTCAATAATTTGCATTTCGAGAGACTGAGTATTGAAATTATGATATAATCTGAAATGTTTAGAGACCTTTGTTTCTTTTCTGGTTTTTATGTTGGTAGCAGCTGCAGAATTGGGAACATGTTACATATTCTACCCTACAAATGGGTGGAATATGTAACATGTTCCCAAAGGTGAACTTATCCTTTAAGAACATTGAAATACTTTAACCACTTGCTGACCACGCTATAGACAAATGATGCCTTCAGCACGGTTCTCCAGTTCTGGGAGGGCGTCATATAAGTCCTCCCAGAAATGCGCCCCCTGCGGCGTGCACCTGGTGCTCTTTGTGATCGCTGTGTCTTTCGGAGACAGCTGATCACATGTCACGGTAAAGGGTCAATCAGAGCCACCCTTTACCACATGACCAGCTGTGTCCAATCACAGATGATCACGATGTAAACACACTTGCCGGCTATCGGCAGTACTTTCCTCACACTGTTACAACGCGAGGAAAGTACTTCCGATAAGTAAGTCTGAAAAGAGAGATCTACAGTGATAATCAGGGCACCGATTATCAGTGCCCTAATTATCAGTGCTACCAGTCAGTGCCCATCAGTGATGCCTAATAAACCAATCAGGGTCCATCTGTCCTGCCAATCAGTGCTGCCAGTTGGTGCTCCCTGTCAGTGCCCTTTCTCTTAGACCATGTAGCGCTACACCATCTTCTTGTTTTTGCTTGCACACACCCTTTATAGGATTTTGGTAGGTGATAGCAGCAGCCCCTTCCCTTGATCCTGTTGCGCGGAATCTCTCTTTGTTATTAGTGCCCATCAGTGCCGCCTCATCAGTGTAGCCTATCAATACCCATCAGTGCAGCCTCAACAAGGCACCTCACTGAAGGAGAAAAAATTGCCTGTTTGCTAAATTTTATAATAGAAACTAAAAATGTTTTTTTTTTTTCAACTTTTTTTTTTTTGTTCATTTAGCAAAAAAAATAAACACCCAGTGATGATTAAATACCACCAAAAAAGCTCTATTTGTATGAAGAAAATGATAAAAATGTAATATGGGTACAGTGTTGAATGACCAATTGTCACTCAAGGTGCGACAGCGCTGAAAGCTGAAAATTGGCCTGGGCAGGAAGGGAGTAAAAGTGCCCGGTAGGCAAGTGATTAAAGTCCAAAGTCTGAGCACAAGTGTACTGAGTGAAGAACTGACAAAAGTTAACAAAAAATCTGACCACCATTACAAATCCTTCCCAAAGTGAAAGCATTTAAGGTGCAGCATGTTCAGCATCCTCCCCACTGTGACAGTGGGCAGGTGATCTATTAGACCCCATATCTCTCCTCTGGCCTCCAAAGCTTCTGATCAAACTGATCAGAAGCTTGTTCAAGCCGGTAACAGCTGAACCGAAAGTGACAAAATCCTCATTGCTTTCAGATTCTGACGTCACACAGTGTGAGGAACATCAGTTCCCAGGAAATGGATGCCACCAGTCACTTCCTTACCAGGCTCCCCGATCGCATAGAAGAGCCCGATAAAGGCTCCCGCCACCTGTAAAGGTAGTCCAATGGCTCTATAGCTACTGAGATTACTTTTACATCGAAGGGAATTGCCAGCAGAAGAAAATGATATCTTGATCATTGCTGCACCAATGACTGTGATATCACCCTTCCCGCCTGAGGGCATATGCATACATATGGTGAACGGGAAGTGGTTAAAGGGACCCCTCCAGGTGCATGCTGTCACTTCAATCCTCACCTGGTATTCCTTGGCGGGTGTTTGAATGGTTGGACGACGATGACATCACTCTTGTGCATGCACACAGAAGTCATGATGGAGGCACAGTGCTCTTTGCACACTCATTTTGCCCTGAAATCAGAGCACATTGCGCATGTGCTGGGGAGTCAATGGTTGCTGCAAATACCTCCTAAATGGTGCACATTTAAGAAATATTCACCGTCCCTACAGCTGAGAATTATTATAAGCTTACCTGTAGGTACAAGTTAAAACAAAAGAGCTAAAGCGGACTTCCAGCTGTTTTTGTGTTTATTAAAAGTCAACAGCTACAAAAACTGTAGCTGCTGACTTTTAATAAACACTTGTTCACCTTTCCGAGGGTCCACCGACGTGCACACCCGCGCCATCCCTTCTCTCCCTGGTGCCAGCATCTCAACTGTGGGCCCCCAGCTGTGACAGTTTGCGGATTCAAAGCCGGATACCCACTGCGCATGCGCAAGTTGCGCTACACATCCTGATTGGTCTGACAGTCTTCTAGGACCTGTGAAGGCTCTCCGGAGACTGCGAGAGGAAGGAGGAGGCCGAACTTCTGGCTTACTTCGACGCAAGTGGGAGTGGGTGGGTACCTGTCAAAACCAGGTATCCGCTCACCCCTCAAAAGGTTCCAAATATGGCATTGGAGGGAGGGGGGAGGCAAACAAGCTTCCACTTTTGGGTGGAACTCCGCTTTAACTACCTCTAATGCAGGCCATAGATGGGTCGAAAATCGGCCGATTTTTCTTTTAAAAAAACGAACAATCGGTCGTTCAAGTGGCCGATGTTACCACCAATGGTAAAAAAAAAAAAATCGGCCGATTTTCATCCCGTCTACAGCCGGCAAAAATGTCCCTGCAGAGAGTTCTGCTATTTCTTTGACAGTTCCTTGACATTTACAGAGGTTGCAACAATGTATCTATTTGTATCCATTTAGGATACAGATGTTTTTATTTGGAAAAAAATAGATACATTGTTGCAACCTCTGTAAATGTCAAGGAACTGTCAAAGAAATAGCAGAGCTCTCTGCAGGGACACTTTTTGCCGGACTGGAATTCCTATTTTTCATCCTTCTTCTTCTCCTTCTTCATCATCATCCTCTTCTTCTTCATCATCATCCTCTTCTTCTTCATCATCATCCTCTTCTTCTTCATCATCATCCTCTTTCTTCTTCATCATCATCCTCTTCTTCATCATCATCCTCTTCTTCATCATCATCCTCCTCTTCTTCTACTTCATCCTCTTCTTCTTCTTTTTTCTTCATCATCCTCTTCTTCTTCTTCGTCATCATCATCCTCTTCTTCTACTACTTCTTCATCATCATCTTCTTCATCTTCTTTCTTCGTCATCATCTTCTTCATCTTCTTCTTCGTCATCATCATCCTCTTCTTCTTCGTCGTCCTCCTCCTCTTCTTCGTCGTCATCATCATCCTCTTCTTCATCTTCTACTTCTTCATCATCATCCTCTTCTTCTTCTACGTCATCATCATCCTCTTCTTCATCTTCTACTTCTTCATCATCATCCTCTTCTTCTACTCCATCATCATCATCATCATCCTCTTCTTCATCATCCTCTTCTTCATCATCCTCTTCTTCTTCTTCTTTTTGTCTTCCTCTTGCAGGTCACTGCTCATGCGCAGATTTTTTATCGGTAAAAAATCGGCCGATTAGCCCATTATTGCCGCGAAAATCGGCCGATCGGCCGATTTTTTTCCAATTTTCCCGATTAAAAAAAACGGCCAAAATACCGAAAAACGGCTGAACAAATAGCCCACTAACGATCCGAAAATCGGACGATTTTATTTTCGGCCGAAAAATCGGCCGATTTTCGACCCATCTATGGCCTGCATAAGTCTGATATGGGATCAAATTTCAAAATATATTGAAGGGTGTGTTCATACAGAGAATATGGGGGAGATTTACTAAAACTGGTGCACTCAGAATCTGGTGCAGCTGTGCAATGTAACCAATCAGCTTCTAATTCCAGCTTGTTCAATTATGGGCTCTTTCACACAGACATTTCGATTGGGTCCACCCACCCGTTTTTCAGGCGGACCTGATCGGAACCTCCATTCTCCTCTATAGAGCGGCGGGTGTCAACGGACATGTGTCCGTTGACACCCGCCGACATCCGATCTGCCAAAAAGGGACGGATCGGGATCCAATTTCCCTTCCGTCCATTGGATCGGATGAAAATGGACAGGCAGTCCATTTTCTTCCGTCCGCCCATTTAGGAGAGCGAGCAGCTGTGTCCGCTCTGGACAGCGAAACAGACACAGAGCTGTCATCCGCTTGCTCAGCGGAGAGATCCCCTGCTGAGCAAGCGGATCCCCTAAAGGGTTCCACTTCATGTGACAGGACCCTAAGCTTGGCCAATAACATCTGGAAGCTGATTGGTTTTATTGAGGAGAGAAAGCAGCTCTGTGTCTGCTCTGCACCAGTTGAGCGGACACAGAGCTGTCATCCACTCGCTCAGCGGAGAGATCCCCCGCTGAGCAAGCAGACCCCCTAAACGGGGCTGCCCTGTGTTAAAGGACCCTAAGCTTTGGCAATAAAACCTGGAAGCTGATTGGTTTCTTTGCTGAGTTGCACCAGTTTTAGTAAACCAACCTCTATTTCTCTTATCCTGAGACCTACAGAGCACTTGGTTGCTGTGGAAATGTCCAATACACTACATGATATAAATATATGAAAATAATAGGCATGCAGCTGTTAATTTATGACATCTAATTAAAGATCTAAGTATAATATTAGAAAGTCTGACAGGAACCGAGCGGCTGAGCCCCGACACACCCACCTTTACTGGCCCACAAGCTGCAGCCTCTCCTGTTCTGACAGCACGCACCTTCTCCTCCACTTCCTGCTTTGTGAATGAACCGCGGAGGCTCACGGGAGTCGTAGTACATTAGGCGATGCCCTGACTGGGAACACGCCTGGTGTGGACTACACGTCCCGTGAGCGCCTTGCGGCAGTGGAGCCGTGGGCGGGACTTAGGGCGGTGTGTGTACACACAAGTGTACGGTGAAAGGGGGAAGATGATGGCACCTGGATTGGGTGCACTGTGCGCTCTGCTGCTGCTAGTGGCCGAGGGACCCGGGGTGTCTGGGAGCGGAGGAGGGGGAGAAGGCAGCCTGCACCGGTCCTCCCCACTCTTCAGCCCGGACCTGGGCAGACATGTGGGGGGCTGCAGTCACAGGGACCCCGAGTCTGACTCCGCCTGGGACCTGGAGGAATGTGGTGAGTCAATGCGGGGACCACTGTGCCATGTGGGACCTCAACACTCTGCTCTCTCCTTCCCTCCACACTCTGCTCTCTCCTTCCCTATCGATGAGACTGCCTGAGTGCACTGCTGTGCCTGTGCTTTGATTATTATGGTATTTTTCTTTCTGTCTATTATTATTCCTGTTAGTTTCAGGTCTATACAGACAGCGACAAGTCTCCATACTGTACATTCACATCACTTCCTGTCCTCAAGGAGCCGAGAGTCTTAGGCTGCATTCACATCTATGCGTTTCAGGACAGGTGCTGAACTGCGTGTTTCCTAAAAGAGTTATAAACCGCGTGCTATTTTTAACACCCCAAACGTGGTAGAAAAAAAAAACGCACCAAGTTCTGCACTCGAAAAAAGTGAAGGAGCTTCTTTAGCGTGTTTGTCGTGTGTAAGGCGTCCAATTGAATGGGTTGCTCTATGTTGTCATGCAAAAAAACACATGCTTGTGAAGTGTGAATGGGGCCTTAGGGCTTGTTCACACACATGTTGGTCTCTCAAGAGTGATCCATATTTAGATCGCTCTTCAGAGAGCATTTTATGGTGCAATACCAGCTTTAACCCCTTGATTGCTTAGTGGCCCCGTTTACTTGGTGCTATGCCCACCAAAAGCAACAACAGAATGTGCATAGCCTGGCCACTGACTTTGTAGCTAAAGGGGTTAGTAGTTGGTAAAAGCATGGCTTAAGCACAGAGTTTAAGGCCCACTTTCACACCAAGCAGATCTGTCCTCTGATCCCCGCTGAGCAGGCGGATGAGAGGTCCGTGTCCGCTCCACCTAAGCAGAGCAGACATGGACACAGCCCTTTGTTCTCTATGGGCGGTCGGATGTAAATAGACCACCTTTTCTGTTTTACATCAGACTGTCATCCGATCTGCTAGAATTCACGGGTGTCAAACTGGCAGCCCTCCAGCTCTTGCAAAACTACAAGTCCCGTCATGCCTCTGCCTTTGGGAGTCATGCTTTTAACTGTCAATCTTGCAATGCCTCATGGGACTTGTAGTTTGGCAACAGCTGGAGGGCCACCAGTTTGACACCCCTGAACTAGATGGAATGGATCTCCCGTCTGTCTGTTTTTAGCGGATCTGATCAGTTTGAATGCAGGCGTGTTTTAACGAACACATGTTCGTTTACATCCGCCACTCCATAGAGAAGGATGGAGGGTCTGATTGGGTCCACCTGCAAAAACGGACAGGTGGACCTGATTGGAACATCCATACAGCCCCTAACCACTAGTGTGAAGCAGCCCTAAAGGGTTAAGCCTCTCCTTCACAATTGAGTGGTTTATAGCTTGGCCCACTAAACTCCAAAATGCTCATCAACCAAAATACAATGCTTTTGTATTGTTTTTGTTCACATTTTAGCACTCAGGTGCTTGTAGCTCAACTCCTGAAGCTTCAAAAGGTACATGGACTACTTTGAAGGAAACATGGGGTGTTTTTGGACCCATTGCTTTCAATAGAAGAATGCAATAAACATGCAGTCCTCCCATAATGTCTGTAGGGCAAAAACAGTGCAGCCCTGCCCCAAAGAAGCTTTAGTGTGGCGTTTCATTCCTAAAAATGTGCAAAACAAAAGCCTCAAAATCACCTGGAAATGCTAGTTGTGAATGAGGGCTTACATAGGAGAATCAGCCTAGATGGAGGAATCTTCCGATTGTTGTATTTTGACAGCCACTGTTTCCATGGTTGTCAGAATACCCAAACAGTGACTGCAAGTGCAGTTTCCACCTGATTACTTAGATTTTCAACTAGGTGTTTGTGAAGCCAGGCAATGCCAGCCACATTTTGGAATCAGCCAAAATTCAAGCCATGTATGGCTAGCCTAACTCTCCTGACTCACACACACATACACCACGCTGGACTGACTGATCCTGGGTGGGTGGTTATATAGGTGAATCAGAAGGATTCCTTTGAGAAGAAATTTGGCTGATGATGGAGTGGTAGTAGACCCTCTTGGGTTTTGGGCTGCTGCCTTTTTGGGTTATTTGTGCATGTAAGACTGGGAAGAAGTGAGGAAAGAAGCGCTCAAAAAGAATTGTGAGTTTCAAAATCAATTTCAAGAACTTTTTGTGTAGCAACAAGTACATCAAACCAGTGTGTTTCAGGAAAAAGGAATCCCCTTCTTCAGGGATATCAAACTGACACAACTAATATATAGATATACACAGAAGATATTACCGCATGAATAAAAGAATCATGTAAAAGGTAATGCTAAAGTGTTTGTTCTCTTATTTTTGCATTACCTTTTTATATGTGATTATTTTATTCATGCAATAATATCTAAATATCTGTATATTGATTGTGTCAGTTTGATAGTCCTGATGAAGGGGGTATCTTTTCTCCCGAAACAAGTTGGATTGGTGTACTTGTTGCTACTGTCAATAAAAATTCTTGAATCGACTTCCAAACTCGCAATTTTTTTTGGATACTAAGCACTCATCCTTTCCTTTCCTTTTTTTTTTTTTTTTTTTTTTTTTTTTCTCTCAAATTCACATACTAGGGTCAGTTTACACAGGAACCAGTTAACCTATCAGCATGTCTGTGGGATGTTCGCAGTGCCAGCACTACAAAAAAAAAATATTTTTATTACACACACAGTTCGAGCATAAATGAGTACACCCCACAAATTTGTCATAAAACCTTTACTTTCCTTTCAAAATCAACATTTTCTATATGACGCTATACTACAAAATACTCCCACCAATGCGAGCTGTTGATTGCAAACAATATTTGTTAATCTGCACACAGAGTATTTTTCCTAACAAATTCATTCAAGACCATGTTGCAAAAAGGAATACACCTCAATGAAAGTCTTAGGAGAAAAGCTAAATTTTAGACATCAAAATCCTAATTAACAAGAATTCAACTACAGGTGAGTCTAACTGGTCATTAAACAGGTGTCCAGCAGATAGTTGATTATAAAAGGGAGTTAATTAACAAGGAAAACCCCCTTCCCATTTCATGCTGTCAGCTATGCCACCACATGGAAGAGAAATGTTACACTGCCTGAGAAAGAAAATAATTTATTTACACAAGAAAGGTAAAAGCTACAAGAAGATCAGTGAAGCTCTACTGACCAGTCAGAATTCTGGAGCAAAAGGGATAGTAAAATTTAACAAAGATGGAACTGCAACCATCTCACAGAGCGTCTTCTGATAAGGGTTGATGAAAATTGCCATGCAAGTTCACTGCAGTTAGCTAAAGAAGTAGAAAGACAAATTCGGGTGATTGTTGCCCTTGACAATACAGCATATGCTGCAGAGGAATGGCACGCATTGGTGTTGTCCATGAAGGAAGCCTCTCCCAAAGCCTGTGCACAAAAATCCCCACCTAGAATTTGCTAGGGCCTATGCTGAAAATTACTACTTGGACTCTGGGCTGATGAGACCAAGATATAAGTTTTTGGAACTGATCGCTTCAAAACTGTATGATGTCGCAAAGGTGAGAAATACAAAGAAACATGCAAGATGCCTTCATTAAAATGTGGTGGCAGTGTGGGGCTGCATGAGTGCAGCTGGTGTTGGGGGGCTGCATTTCATTGATGGTATCATGAATTCACAGATGAATGCTCTATATTGAAAGAGAATATGCTACATCACTCTGCCCTTGATCGTCGCACACTTTTCCAACATGATAGTGATCCAAAACACACATCTAAGGCCACTGTTGCATTCTGAAGAACAGGGTGAAAGTGATTCAGTGGCCAAGTGTGTCTCCTGATATGAACCCAATCGAGCACCTATGGAGAATTCTGAAGAGACAAGTTGAGCGTCACGCTCCATCCAGCTTCCAAGCTCTAAAGAGGTTGTTCTTGAAGAATGGAAAAAGATAGAGGTTGCAATATGTCGCCAACCTTTTCACTTCATGCCTAGAATACTTGGTGCTGTCTTTACAAATCATGGAGGTCATACAAAATACTAGATGTAGTAGTTTTTGTTGTGGGGTGTATTCATGTTTGCATCAACTAATTTTGAGTAAAACTGAAGATTTTGTAATCTAAGTTATAATATTAACCTTACTTTCATGTAATGAGCTAAACAAATGTTCTATGAAACTCAGTTTTGGCAAAATTTGGGATATTGTTCTTGTGTTCATTGAGATATTGATTAAAATATTACTTTTCAAAAGGGGTGTGCTCATCTTATGCTGAGCAGTGTGTGTGTATATATGTGTATGTATGTGTGTGTATATATGTGTGATGTGTGTATATGTGTGATGTGTGTGTATATGTGTGTGTGTGTATATATATATATGTGTGTGTGTGTGTATGTGTGTATGTATGTATGTATGTATATATATATATATATATTCCACACACACACTGGTCAAAAAAATTTAAAGAAACACTTTTTAGTCAGAGTATAGCATCAAGTCAATTAACCTCGTGGGAATATTGATAAGCAGCAGAAGGGGTTGTTAATCAGTTTCAACTGCTTTGGTGTTAATGAAATTAACAGGCGCACTAGATGGGCAACACTGAGACGACCCCCAAAAACAAGAATGGCTTTACAGGTGGAGACCACTGACCTCTTATTTTTTTTCTGTTTTTTGCTAGTTTTTGCATTTGGCTAGGGTAAGTGTCACTACTGGTAGCATGCGGCGATACCTGGACCCTACAGAGGTTGCACAGGCAGTCCGAATCCTCCAGGATGGCACATCAATACGCGCCATTGCCAGGTTTGCTGTGTCTCCCAGCACAGTCTCAAAAGCATGGAGCAGATTCTAGGAGACAGGCAGTTACTCTAGGAGAGCGTGACAGGGCTGTAGAAGGTCCTTGACCCATCAGCAGGACCGGTAGCTGCTTTTTTGTGCAAGGAGGAACAGGATGAGCACTGCCAGAGATCTACAAAATGACCTCCAGCAGGCCACTGGTGTGAATGTCTCTGACCAATCAGAAATGGACTTCATGAGGGTGGCCTGAGGGCCCAACATCCTCTAGTGGGCCCTGTGCTCACTGCCCGGCATC